TAAAATAAGGAAACTTTCAGCAACCTAGTAATAGAAAGGACATACTAAACCTAATAGAGTATTTCCCGATATAATATAGCAGACAAACAGCATACATAATAGTAAAATATTCAAAGTTTTCCTGCTCAAGATTACTAATAAGTATACCTCCTTGTCTCACCATTTCTAGTCAACTTGGCATTGGAGGTTCTAACCAGTGTGGTAAGTCACTGGGGGAAGGAGGAGGAAGGGAAAGTACTAGGAATAGAAAGAAGAAGCAAAATAGCCACTCATTTTTACATGATGTGATGCCTTATATATAGAAACCTTTAAAATTCACAAATTTTAAGAACTATCACAATATGTAATAGTCACAATATCAAATATAGCCCTTTGTAACCGAAATACTATTTTCAAGAGATTCCATTCAAATAATATAAAAATGAAAAACCTGGGACTATATGTATTTACATATGAAGAGATTTCCACAGAAAAATTATAAAACTTACTGTCATTATAAAGAGTTATTAAATTGAGAGAGCATATTCATTGATGGAAAAGTAATTATTATAATGCCGATTTCCCCTAACTTAATTTATAGATTTAATATAAATCTAGATTAATAAATTGTAAATCTAGATTAATATAGATTTAATATAAATCTATAAATAAGTAAAAATATTCCCCCAAAATTTGTGGAACTTGAAGATGATGCTGAAATTTGTGTCAAAGTATGAAGGGACAAGACTAGCCAAGATACCCCTGGAAAAGAATAATATGGAGGCCTTAGAATTCTACTCAGTCTAGGGCCTCCCCAGGTGGTGCAGTGGTTGATTGTTGGGCTGGTTCGATCCCTGGCATGCAGACCTCTCCTGCCATGCCTGCTGCTCCCCTCAGCAGTGTATTTTGTCAGTCTGCCTGTTCTGTTCCCCGCTCTGGTTCTGGTGAATTCTCTTACCCTCCCACGCTTCTGCCTGTACCCAGTGCTTGTATAAATAAATAAATTAAATAAATCTTAAAAAAAAATTCTACTCAGTCTAAATCTTACGTGAATAAAGAAATTCTTCTGATTTTGCTTGTTTTGTTTTGATTATAAACTGAAATGCAATGGTTTTGTCTGAAGGGCAAATTTCAAGGGCTAGTGAAATGAGTAGCAGCAAAATAAATCAACTATATCTTTAAATTTCTTAAATGGCAAATTGACTATTGATGATATGAACCAAGTTTCTCAAAAAGTGTATTGACCAGGAAGGTAACATCGACTAGCTGATGATTCAAAATACCCTCTTGAGGCTAATATAAAATACCCTCTTGAGACTCTGATGTAATCTCATTTCTGTATCATAAAATTTTCTTCTTTCTTCCTATTTGTTTCACTCAGTTTTATCTAATATCTCGTCTTCACTGTTTATTGTGCAAATTAACAGATTTCCAAGTAAATACTCAGTAAACACACACAGTAGTCCACTTAAATTGTAAACAGTTACAAAAACAAACTTGAAAGCATTTCTACCAATGTGAAGCTCTGTGGGAAATTGTTTTCTCCTAGTATTGTGGGTGATTATTATGAAGAAAACAAATGAGGTAAGGTAATGTTACAATAATGATCTGGAACTGTGAGTCAAATGAGTAAGATTAAAGGCACAAAGAAACTCTTCCTAATAAACAAGCAGATAACTGCTGGAAAGAAAAATATGTTCCTTGTTTGAAATTAACTGCCAAACATTCTCAACCTACACAAAGCTGTCATAAAGGACATCTAAATCTGTCCTTGTTTGTAACATGTGTTGTGACAAGATTTGACAGTTTATCAAAGAACTATAATTGCCACCTAAACATCTAGCATTTTGTCAACTGCAAGTCTGTTTAGTGAAAGCATTTATTTTACTTAAAATACAACAACCATTTTTCTCCACTTTCTGAAAGAACTAACTGAATTTCTTTTATCCTTAGCTGATCAAACTGCATCAGGACTCTGAATTATTTATGTTGGAATTGTGAAGGGTAAAAGAATAATCAGTAAAGCAAGAAACTATTACCAAGATAATGTGTACATATTCCGGATATTGACTCAAAAGACCTTGAAAATACAATCCTCACAAATCTATAGAGATGACAGTTACATATGATTGTCTTAGGAAGGAAAGGTAAGAAATTTTCTCTATAGCACAATTTTTTTCCAGAGAAATTTATTAAAACATGCTATATTAAATAGCATCGTTCCTACCTGTAACTTTTATCAAAAACCACTCAGTGATAAGATAGATGTCTTTCTCAAACTACAAAGACCAACAGACTGGAGTTACATTCCTTTACAGCAGATTCTTGAAGCAGAAATATCAGAGTATAAAAATATTTCCATGGCATTACTAATGGTTTGGTTTTTTTCTGGAATTAATTTTTAAAAGAAAAATCACTTTCCATTCTCAAGTTTAGGGGTTTGTTCTTTGTTTCAGTAGTCTGAAAAAAGTAAAATGTTTATGCAAAAAAAAAATTCTTTTTAAAATTTTTTTTATTTTATTTATTTTTTAATTTTATATATTTTTTACATCATTCTTCATTTTTATACAATGTATGCTTTCTCATCTCAGGTATAGTCCCTGTGAAATTCCCACCACCATTTCACCTATATACCATCACCATTATCCCTTATTCTCTTCCCACCCCTGTTTTGATCTTATTCCCTCCTCCCCCGCCTGCAAAATGTCTCTGGTTTATAGTTTCCTGTTGATTTTTATTTTTACCTTATTATAATTACTTATTTAAAAAATTCTATGCAACTTTTCAGTTTTTCCTTCAATCATATAAACCTCAAAGAAAAGGCCTAGAAGTGGTATCTTAGAAAACATTCTCTTTGAAAATTTGGGAATCCATATTCTAGTCCACAGTTTACTTCTAATTTACTGTTAGATCCCAAGCAAGTTGATCATTTCTCTGGGCCTCTGTTCCCTATCTGTAAATTGGGATGTTATGCTGAATTATCTCTAAGGCCATTTTCATCTTTAACATGCTATGATTCTAGACAAATCCCTGAAACTATGAGGTGTTGCAACAGCCAGAACTGGAAGCAAAAATAGTAAGACAAAAATTTCTCCTACTTAACACCTCAAGGAAAATGCAACTGACTATGGTTTTTTAATGTTTACATTAGCATTCAGTCTTATTTAGGTAATATTAAGTCTATTTAAAAATCTGTTTTGTTTTTCTTTAAAAACTGAAAAATGTGTGACATGTTGAGAACGCTAAGAGAAAAATCATTTTAATTGAAGCTGCAAGTACTTTTTAGTGCTTCTAAATTAAGTCACAGAATTTTCTTTAGAAATCACTGTATGTAGTCTGGCTGAGGATGAGAATCACATGGTATAGGTGGGTCTGTTGGTTTTATGACAGTGAAGAACATGAATTAAGGGTTGTGGACAGAAATAAGCTGGCATGCACTGTCAACCATGAAGTGTCTGATCTGAGGAGAAAATCATGTTGATGTCAGAGAAGGATGTGATTGGATCAGTAGCCCTTTTGACACAGCTGCTTATATGACTTTATAATAATAACTCCTTCAGTATATAAAAACACATTTTTATGGCAAAGTAATGTGTTTCACAATGTCAAATTTTACCCAATTTTGTTGCCTATCCCATTCCTTACCCCATTCCTAAGCTTATCCTATTTATTTATGAACCCAACACATTGGGGAAAAATTCAAAGTGCAATGTGAAAATATATCCAGCAAATAATTTAGTAATTTCAGTATATGAAGGAATGATGGTTTCACTTTAGGCTAAATCAAATTTCTGCAAAATCAAATGTCAGTTACACAATTAGCAGGATAAAAATATATGATCTATATCTGATGTTGCCATTATTTTTATAACACAATTTGTTGTTAAAATTCCTAGTATCTGTGATTCATTCCACTTTTTACCTCATTACTGACACTCCCAATGCACTCTGGAAGTTATCTACTAAAACTGATGCATTATTGATAATAAACACTTAATCATTTTGTCTTTTATAAGTATAAAAGTAATTAAATTTCAAATACTACATTAATGGATGGCAATAAAATGTGGTAGTCTTCCTTCATCTTAACACCCACCAATGTACTCCCCTCGCCAAACACAGTTATAACAAAAGGGTTTTCAATAATGTTTTGTTGCTTTGACTATTGCATAATTTTAAATGCTGAAATATCATAGTATGCAAATTTTTGTAGCTGGGCTTTTTACATTTAAAAATATCTTGGAGACTTTCCATATGATTTCTTATAAATCTGTCTCTTAATGACTATATATGTACAATGCATTATTTGATATTTTACCTGTTATTGAATATTTGTAAGTTTCCAGATTTTGCTTTTAGAAGCAAATTTTAGAATAGTGACTATTTGTCATTCATCATCATATGCTCTGTAAGTGGTACAACACTGACACACAGAATGCCTCAGGAAATATAAACTGAATTAATAGGGCAACAAATACTGTTGTCAGTATATTCCATCAATGCGTGTGAATATTTCAAGTGAGTAGATTTCTAGAAATAAACACATTGAGTCAAAGGTTATATGAAAAATGTCCCTTTCAAAATTTACACTCAACTTTCTATTAGAATAGAAGTTGTCCTTTATTTTTGATCTACTTGATATGTGAAATAATTAACTTTTTGATTACTAGCATTTTCCCATGTTTATTAGCTATTTATTTTTTCCTATTTTCAAACATTTACATTTAATTATCTTTTTCTGACTTAATTGGAAGAACTCAAAAATATATTAGACGCATTCTCCTGTCAGTAGCTTTCCCTTTAAATTTGTCTTTTGCCTGTAGTTTTATATAATATTTTACGTATTTAAATTTGTTTAAAAAACCATATGAAAAAAAATACATGCACTTATGCAAAAAAAAAAACCATAAACTGAAGAAAATTTGGTTCTTTAGTGATAAAGTGTGAAGTGGGAACCAAGCAGACTTTCTTTTTTTTAAAGATCCAAGGGCGAGGTAGAGCTGCACGTGCTACAAGGAACAGTTAGCTCCAGAAGCCGTTACAATCTGTGGTTTGTCTTCTATTGTAATCTGGGCAGCAGTAGAGATCGCTGGACCGAAGAGTGACTAGGGTAGTTGATCAAAATGCCAAATATTAAAATCTTCAGCGGCAGCTCCCACCCGGATTTATCCCAGAAAATTGCTGACCGTCTGGGCCTGGAGTTAGGCAACGTAGTGACTAAAAAATTCAGCAACCAGGAGACCTGCGTGGAAGTTGGGGAGAGTGTTCGAGGAGAGGATGTCTACATCGTGCAGAGTGGCTGTGGTGAAATCAACGATAATCTAATGGAGCTTCTAATCATGATTAATGCCTGCAAGATCGCCTCAGCCAGCCGGGTTACAGCTGTCATCCCATGCTTCCCGTATGCGCGGCAGGATAAGAAAGATAAAAGCCGAGCCCCAATCTCTGCCAAGCTTGTTGCAAACATGCTGACTATAGCAGGGGCAGATCATATTATCACCATGGACCTACATGCTTCTCAAATTCAGGGCTTTTTTGATATCCCAGTAGACAATTTGTATGCAGAGCCAGCTGTCCTGAAGTGGATAAGGGAGAATATCTCTGGGTGGAAGGACTGCACTGTTGTTTCACCCGACGCTGGTGGAGCTAAGAGAGTGACTTCCATCGCGGACCAATTGAATGTGGACTTTGCTTTAATTCACAAAGAACGGAAGAAGGCCAATGAAGTGGATCGCATGGTACTCGTGGGAGATGTGAAGGATCGTGTGGCCATCTTGGTGGATGACATGGCTGACACTTGTGGCACAATCTGCCATGCAGCTGACAAACTTCTCTCAGCGGGAGCCACCAAAGTTTATGCAATCTTGACTCATGGAATCTTCTCTGGCCCTGCCATTACTCACATCAATGGTGCATGCTTTGAAGCAGTAGTAGTCACCAACACCATACCTCAAGAGGCTAAGATGAAGCTTTGCTCCAAAATACAGGTGATTGACATTGCCATGATCCTTGCAGAAGCCATAAGGAGAACTCACAATGGGGAATCAGTTTCCTACCTATTCAGCCATGTCCCTTTATAATAGATTATTTCAAGATTAGTCTATTGTAAAATAAAGTATGGTACAATAAAGATACACCCTGCCTGTTGTTTTCCCCTATTTGATGAAAAGCTTAGCATTGGAGTCAACTTTATCCAGTGTGACTTTTGTATACCACATCAAGAATATTAGAGTTTATCTTACTCAAATTGAGAATAATCACTGGGGTCTCCTACCTGGGTGGTCTCATTTTGTCTCCTTTGATGATTTTGTGAGCCTTGCAGCTTTATTTACATTTCAGCTGCTGATTTCAGATTTTTGAGGGTGTTGTTTAGAGGTGTCTGAAAGTAATTAAGGAAGTATAGGCTACTTTACATGTGAATGTTTCAGGATTTACTTTGCACAAAACACCTAGCAATGCGAACAAACAACCCAGTCCACCACCATCCTCCACCTACTTCTAATCATCCAACTCCCTTTTAATTTCCCTCCCACCCTGATTTGTCACAAGTTCTGAAAGGTCTGTGTTAAATTGCCCAGAGTCCTGGGCCTACCAAAACTTAATTCTCCTGATTGATGATAGCTCTGCAAATCAGGAGCATCAGCTTTCAACTTGAACAACTACTGGATGAGATGGTGAAAGGAGACTACAAAGTGCAATAAATGCTTCTTGGGAGAAGACAAATTTTTCCCCGTCTGGAGACGATATATATTAGATTCTTAAATCGTTGTACCTATTCTTAGGATTAAACTTTACCTTGAACTTCTTGAACTTTTTCTGGCTAAATATCTTATTGGGTCTAATGTTCAATGTACCAGTCAGTCTTCTGGAAAGCAAATTTACTTTCTGCAACATAACCTTTTTAATATTTGCATTAGATTTTTCTCTGTAGATTACTTAATCTTAGCCTACTACTCTGGTCAATTTTAAGTAATGACTAAAAAATTCAGCACCAGTAGACCTGTGTTGATTGAGCATTTGATCAAGCATTTTGATTAAGACTTAGAGCTTAGCCACTTTGAACATTTACTAAAAGTATCACTTGAGGATACTGAAAACAACCAAGAATATGTGGGATAAAAGAGATAATGCTGAGTAAAGAAAAAATTAAATTGATAATGCTGAGTAAAGAAAATAAATTGATAGAAAAAAATTATCACAGTAATTATGAAGAAAATCACAGTTATTAAAATAAATTCATATTAAAATTATATCACTATGTGAAGTTAGGAAATGTTAGGGTTAGTCTAATTACATTAAATAAATAAAGGTATATTATCCAGTTTGAGAGGGAAATTATTGATATCAGTAACTGACATTATAGAAAAACCTAAGTTTAAATTTTTTTTGTAAAATTCAAGGGCAAAAGAAGAAAAATAATGGGAAAATTACTTCCAAATACCTATATTTTAAAAAACAGTATAGGCAAAGCTAAACAAATTAAAAGAAAATAGGAAATAAATAAGGAAGAAAGCATAGAAAATAAAAAAGACCAAATATATGTATCTCAGCCAAAGTCAATATGTTGTAACAATCTTGTAAGAGATAGATTTTTTGGTTGGGAACAACAACAGAAGGAAATTTTAACAAAGTGCTCTCATAAAATAGCAATGAGAGGTAGTATAGGATTAAATAGCTCCATTAGCACAACTTAATAATTATATATAGAAATCAAACAGATAATTCACCTTTTTTGCAGCATGAATGAAAACATTTATAAAATGTAATAGCTGAGGGCCTCCCTGGTGGCACAGGTGGTTGAGCGCCGCACTGTGAAGCTGTCCACAGTATCTGCAGCATGGGTTTGATTCCGGCCGGCCGGCCGGCCAGGCAAGAATCCCACATGGGGGCAGACCTCTCCTGTCTCGCCGGCTGCTCCCCTCAGCAGTGTATTTCAGACACTCTGCCTGTTCTGTTCCCCGCTTTGTCTCCGGTGAATCCTCTAGCCCTCCTGTGCATGTGGCCTGTACCCGGTTCTTGTATAAAAGTCTTGTTAAAGAAAAGTCTTGTTAAGGAAATTTACAATGAATATGCATAATAAAGTAGCTTTACTACAATCATCTTAACAACATTGTAAAAATAAAAAAACTCAGTAAATCGAATAGAGTTAAATTTGCTTAGCTTAATGAAATCTACTAGAGATATACAAAGATAATAATTGTGAAAAGATTCCCATTAAAATTAGACAAATTTCTAAATCAATGAAATAAGGCAAGAAAAACAATATGGTAATACTGGAAAGAAAGGAAAGAAGCAAAACACTGGTGATTTGCAGATATCATAATTATCAACAAAAAAAATCCATTAATCAAAAACTATTTCTAAGTCAGTAAAGTGACTGCCTGTGAGATAAATTGCTTTTCTTATCTACCAACACAATATGTTTTTTAAAAAAAAGTTGGAAAAAACTTCCATAACTAAAACAATAAAATTACACAATAGCCAATAATAAAACCCCAAACTGGAGGATTAGTATAAAAAAAATTTACTAGAAGATATAGGAAATACCTGATGAACCTAGAGAGGAAAAAAAGAATATTGCAAGTGTAAGAGTTTCCTCAAGTCATTTATAATTATTGTTACAATATAGTATTGTCAATATAAGCCCAATCAAAATTTTAACAGGATTTTTTAGAAAGAGAACTTGATTTCTTAAAATTCATTTGGCAAAATAAGTGAGCCAAAGAATTCAAGTTCTTTCAGAAAATATTCTTGTCCTATATATTAAAACATTATAGAACTACATTAATTAAAACTGTTTTACTGATGTGGGAATGTACACATAAATTAATATTGCAGAATTTAGATTCCTGAACCAGATTCATGTATACTTATGGGAATTTGGTACACACATACCCTATTTAATGGAGTGACTGGGAAAAGGAGCATTACTGGGAAAAGGAGCCTGAATCAATTCTACAGGAGAATCACTATTACAAAGTCCCCATGGAGATGCTTTCCTCATAATCCTGCCTTGGCAAATACTTCTGCAATCTACTCAGATTCTCTGAAGTGGGAAACACTATCGCAGTTTGTTTCTAAGTACTTATGTTCAATTGGTCAAACCAGATCACAGTGATGCTTGTGATGGGCTTCTTAATGCCATTTGTCACTTATCAATACCTAGCTTTTTGATGATCTTAACTTTCTGCTTCCTTGATTACATCCTGAAAAGTACCTCAAGCCTCTTAAAGAGTTCTGCTTTAAACCCATTATAACACTATCACCTTGTGTATTTGAGTATACCCGGTGTTATTTCATGCATTTAACCAGTTATTTTTGGACAAACTACTCTCCAGAATACAAAATAAACAAAAGAGAGTACATGGAATAATAAATAACAGACTTCATAATATATTCACAGTTTAGTTATGTTGCAGGTTCCCTCACTCATGGTATGCTTATGCACATAGGCCAAGACTGAATACACACCCTCACCAATTGTTGTTGTTTCTAGCCTTTTCAATATAGGCCAGTCTCACAGACATGAGATCCTATCTCCTTTTGTGTTTGATTTGCATTTCCCTGATGGTAGTGATAATGAGCATTTTTTTATGTGCCTATTGGACATCTGTATGACTTCTTCACTTGATTTTTATGACACCATAATACAAGGCTTTTCTCCCATCTCTTGGCTCTTGTCAAACTTCTTCCCTATCCTTCTACTGATACAGCTCATTCTCTGCCATTATAGGCAAACTTGAAGGTCAAGACCTCTTCATATCACTAATATATCAGGTGGACATTTGCCTACTCTAATATCCTGTTACAGAGTCCTTCTGCACTGGTTATTTTTCTAAAGTACTACTTTCATTACCTTGCTCCAATAATCAAAAACTTTGACAGATTGTTTTCATTGTTTACAGGAAAATACATCCTTATTTTTGATAAGACATTATCAAAATGTGGAGCGTTGCTCCGACTATAAACTTTCTAATCCACTCTTACTGGTCTATTTATTGCCCCAGAAAAATACCTGCAAATCTCTTTTATGAATTTTTTGCATGCATTAACCTAACCTCCTTAGCCACTCTGTTATCTTTCACTTGGCTCTATCCTATTTTTCTTCAAGGTTCATTTCTTTCACAAACATCACAATATCTGATTGTCTCTCTCTCCCATAAATCCCTATTGCCTGCACATTCTTTGCAGTGTTGTCTTCTCTTGTGAGATTAATGTGGGTGGCTTTTAAGGATTGGGCATAGTTCATAAATTCTCTGTCTCTTCAAGATGCCTTCCATAATATTTAATATGTACAAAGCAGTTACTATGCTTTAGTTTTTTAAATTGATAATAAACCTTACCTAGTGATGGATAAACTTAGCAATAGGTAAGAAATACCAACTCAAAGATTTTATCAACTTAGAGATTTTTTAAATTTATATTAAAAAACAATAAGGACAATTGTATCATTTTCAGTATGTTTTCAGAAGATGAGGGTGACAGTGAAAATACTTTCTGAAAAGAATGCAGCAGCATTGTGCCAAATGAACTGGACTAGAAAGACTCTATGACTGGGAGAAAAAATGTGTCTATTTTTCAAACAATATTTTTTTTCAGACTTAGAGTGAACAAAGAAGACTTCATGTTCCCAATCCCTAATGCACACAAGGGATGTTTACTGGAATTCTGTCTGAGCATAAATTTCTAAATGTAATGCTGACAGTATCTCTTATCAGATGACATGATTAATGATGTTTTCTTCAGAGTGGCTTCAGTTAGTGTTTATTAAGATGCTTCCCAAATCCTAATGCTATTTCAAAGATGCAGTCAGATGATTATACTTATGAGCACCTTGCAAGAATAAGAAAAGATAAGGCAGTGATTGAATGATTTTAAATAACTCATTTACCCAGATTTAATTATTATGCAACTAGTGACTTTCTACTTCTTTGTGTTATTTCTCCTCATCCTGTATCTTTCTTTTCTAGGAAAACCATTATTTCCTTTACCCCAATTTCATTGCATATGGTAGGCAATGACTAGCATAACTCATTACTCAGAGCTAGGGTAGGGAACCTCCCTTTCACAACATTAAAGGTTATTTGGTTGTCAAATAGGCAGTGAATCTGCTGCATGGACTTAAAATTGTACTTTCTTTCCTCTCCTTGCTTACCATTTGA